CACCCATGTTCATCCTAGCCCTATTCACAATAGCAAAGAGACGGAAACAACTTAAGTGTCCATAAACAGAGGAATGGATCAACAAACTATGGTACATACATACAATGGACTATCATGCAACATTAAAGAATAATGAAGAATCCATGGAACATCTCATAATGTGAATGAACTTGGAGGACATTATTCTGAGTGAGATAATTCAATCACAGAAGGACAAATACTGTATGAGTCCACTATTACAAAAAGTTAAGGAAAGGTTTACACATGGAAGGAAACCTTCTTTGTTGGTTACTAGAATGGGAGGGGAGGTCTGGTGCTGGCAATTACTTGGTATGGCTCTTCTAGTCTTTATGACTCCCACCAGATGACTGGGTGGAACTATACAAATGTAAGATGCTTGTGGCCCACCAAGGGGACATATTAGTAATATAAATAATGTACATGGACCCCTTGTGGAGGTGGGACCATGCAAATAAGGTATATGGAATCCTAATGTGAGGATTGGTCAGTTTTGTCAATCTGCTAGCCTTAAAGTGAGCCCTCTCAGAGGTAGAAAGGGGGATCTCACTGCCATCAAGAGAGAAGAGGTGGAGGTTAAGTGGAGTGTGCCCTTGGACCCAAGATCTCTGTGCTAAGATGACAGAGATGGCAGAGAAATGGCGGTACCAGCAATAGCAGAATGGAGAGACCAGCATGAGACAGAATGACAGCCTTGCCGGCCCACGAAGCAAGAGCACTGAGTGCCTTTGGGTAGGGGGCTTGCTGGAGGAATGGGGTGAACCTAGGGGCACCTATCAGCTAAAAGAGCTTTGTAACATGTGCCCAAGAGGAGGCCAGGCCAAGAGACCAAAGGCCAAAGAAAGGCGTGGGAGCCTGTCCTAATTGAAGAATTCTATTCTGAGCATTTCTGAACCTGAATTGTAACCTGTTGCTTCCCTAACAAACCCCATGATCATGAGTATTGTCTGTGAGTTGTGTGTGATCGCTGCTACAAGTTATCGAACCTCGAACCTCATAGAGAAGGAGAGAGAGCTGTGGGAGGAACAACCAGTGTCAGAATTGAAAAGAAAGTTGGAGGGTGGCAGCCTTGGGCTATCTTGATTGATCTTTCTCTCCCCCTGCTGAAATTAGATGAGGTCAGAGGATGGCACCCCCGTGCCTTTTTTCTCCAGAAGGGAAGGGAAAATTGCTAGCTAGGTAAAAGGCACATACTGATTTGGGTGAAGGGAAAGGCAATATACCAAAAGCAGGTGACCAGCACAATATCACTAAGGAAAAGGAAGACACACAGAGGTGCAGACAACAAAGGTAAATACTATTACATACACAATTCTGCATTATCAGTAATAACAAACATTTATCTACAAGTGGATACATAGGTAGACAGGCAAGAAGATGAGGGATGGAATGAGAACACACCTATGACCATATATAGAACTGGCAGACAATATTTCTACATATGCATTTGTACGTGCTATAAAAATGTCCATATATATAATAGAGTGAACAGAGGCAAAGTTACAGTAACTTCTTAATCATAACCAAACACTTGGAGGGAGGGAGTCACTGGGACTGCAGGCTCTGGACCAGGGCTGCAGGGGACATCAAATTCAATTGGCACAGCTGGTACATAGAAACATTATTCTATATCCTACTGTGGTGAATAGCAACTGGAGTCTTAAAAGCTTGTGAGCAGCCATCTAAGATACAACTATTGTTCTCTTCTCATCCAGGGCAAAGAAGAGCGAAGAAAATCAAAGACACATGGAAACAATCAGTCCAAGGGACTAGTGCACCACATGAACCTCGGCCTGCACGACCCCGAGACCAGAACTGGATGGTACCCAGCTACCACTGCCAACCACTTGGAAAAGGATCAAAATTGGAGATTAAATACACTGGGAGAAAAATGTGGAACAAAACTCAAAATCATAAAAAAGACCAGGCTTACTGGTCTGACAGAGACTGGTGAAACACTCAAGACGGGTTCCTAGTAACCCTTCACGCCTGGCTTTGAACTCACTCCAATGGCTTGACCTTCAGCCAAACAAGAGACAGGCCTACAAGGTGAAAGTCTACACCATGGAGGTGCACTTCTTAGAACAATCAACCATACGAGATGAGAAAGGCAGCATTTGTGAAGGGAAATAGCTCAGAGAGCAGGAATCATAGGAAAGAAGGACACAGGGAAAGGGTAACCACAGGGAAGACGTGGGAAGAGAGTTGTTAGACTGTGGGGACTGCAATCAATGTCATGAAACAAAATGTGTATGAACTGTTGTCTGGAAAATGAATTTGCTCTGTAAACTTTTACCAGAATCACAATAAAAAGTTTAAAAGTGGGGGGGGGAGGGCAGGCTTCCATTCAGTTTTAATAATGTTGTAACTAAATAATGTTGCAATTCAATGAAGAAAGATTTTACAAAACCATTTTGTTAGTCTTCATATAATCTAAGAAATATTATATATAAACAATTTACAACTACATCACGTACTATTCTATAATTAAAATCGAATAAACATTACTAAGGATTCTTTAGGTTCTGATATAGGAGTAGGCCTTGGTAGGGGGTGACACCATAAGTTACCACACTGGGCAACACTGACCCTATGACGTCACTGTCAGTGTGGTGAAGTGACCTATTCAAGGTCACCCAACTAGTAAGTGGTGGGCCCTGCATTTGAATACATGTCCATCTGACCCCAGAGCTTTCCTGCTTTTCATTCTGCCAGTCATCTCCCATAAGTAACTGGCTGCATAGCAAACTCTCCTCTGGGGCAGGTTTTTACATTACTACTAGGGCCATCAGACATGAGATCCAGGGGACTCAGAGAGAACCATGTTCAAGGCCTTTGTTCAGAAGTTAAAAGGAAGAAACCCCAGGGATACCCACCATCCTGTTTCTTAAAAACTCCATGATATGTCCTGTTTCAGACATTTCAGATTCGATTAAACTCAACTGTATTTCTTGAGCATTTACTAAGGACCATGCCTCACACTGAGGTCTCAGAGTTGTGGGAGACAGGGGCCAGTTACAAGATAAAACAGGGATCCCCAATCGACAAGGGCTGAAATCCCTTACCTTGCAACATCCTTCCATGGTGTCCTACACAGAGACATCCATCAGACATCAGTCCAAAGATATGATGGACCCCAAGGACCTCAGCCTTTACAGCCTTGAGACGAGACGAACTAGATGGTGCTCGACTGCCAGTGCCAACCTCTCAGAAAGGGATCAAAATCAGAGATCCTGGATAGACTGGAAGGAAAAAAAGTGGAACAAAATTAAAAACGAAAAAACGAACAGAATTAGTGATGGGATAGAGACTGGTGGAACCCCCAATACTATGACTCTGGCTTATCCTTTGGGTCTGGAAATGGACTCACTTCCATGGATTGGCTCTCAGCCCAACAATAGAAAAACCTACAAGCAGGACACCTACCCCAGGGAGATGCACCCCTTAGATCAACCAGCCCTGAGACATCAGAGGGGCAGCATTCACATAGAGAGAAAGGTGGACAGACAGGAATGCAGAGATAAGAAGGGCACAGGGAGGGGGTGGTCACAGGGAGGGCGGGAGGAGAGTTTTATGGTTGGGGACGGTGATGGGGCTGTGAGATCAAATGTGCATGAACTGTTGAGAGTAAAACAAATCTGCTTTGTAAATGTGAACCCAAATCACAATTTGAAAAAAAAAAAGAGAGATACAATTTAAAAAAAGAAAAGAAAAACCCTATGAGGAGGTATTGTCATCACATTATATCCAGCAAACAGAGGCTCAGCAAGATCAAGCCCTTGTTGGATGTCACCCAATTTGCAAATGGCAGAGCCAGGATTTGATCTCCAGGCTGTGTGGCTTCAACAGTGCCATATCCCCACCACCTGGCACTGCCTCCCATGGGGCTCCGGAATAACGCATGAGGTCAGAACTTGAGGCATCAGGCCTTCTGCAAGTCCCAAACTTGAGGGCAAAGGCCAGGTGGGCTGTTGGTCCCATTTTACAGATGGGAAAACTGAGGCTCAGAGTAACTTCCTCAAAGTCACCCAAAAAGTGAAGTGGCCTTAATTTGAATTTAGAGCTCTCTCTGACTCCAGAAAGCTAACATTTTTCATGCTTACCATTTCTGGCACAAGTTCTTGAGAGTTCGATTTCGGTGACTGTGGACTAAGCTGGAGGTTTCAGGTCTCTGCTTCAAGCGAAAAATCTAAGATCTCTTGGGGAAGCCAAAAGAAAGAGGCCTTATTTTAAAAAATAAAAAATAAAAACTGAATTCACTGCTATCGAGTGGGATCCGACTCATAGTGACCCCTCCTTGGGCTTCTGAGGCTGTTGTTGTTATGTGCCGTCTAGTCGGCCCTGACTCATAGCAACCCCTCCTTGGGTTTCCGAGGCAGTATCACTACGGAAGTAGGATTGCCCAACCTTCCTTCCAAGGAGTGGCTGGTATGTTTGAACCCCCAGCCTTCTAGTTAGCAGTCAAATGCCTTAGACACTACACCACCAAAGCTCCGGGCCTAATGAAGATGCAAATAAGAGAGGAAGAAAGACAAAAAGGTGAGAGGAAGGGGAAATGGTGGGTAAAGCTGGTGGCACAGGTGGTGGCTAAGACCATAGGTTGTAAAGTCAGGAGACTAATAGGACTGAACAGTTTTTTTACTTCTGAGGGAAACTGAGGTAACACAAAAGTGGCCAGCGCGCCTCAAACCAACACCCACAACTCCCGCCAGTCGCCCAGGGCCCGCCCCTTCTGCTGTTTATTGGCTGCCGCTGACACGAGACCGACGCAAGAGACAGCCAATGGGAGTGGCCCACGGAGCGTCTTTCCCCGGGAAAGTCGACTCTGACTAGGGAACCCGGAAATGTGAGGGATGGACAAGTGAAGAGAGCCAATCCGCTGCGACGAGTGTGACCGGACGGCCAGTGGCGAGCCACCGGAGGCGGGACCGCAGGTTTGTCGGTGGAAGAAGTCCCGGGAGCCGGCGACCAGGGAATTGGCAAGCGCGGGGAAGGCGAGGGAGGCCGGGCAGCAACGCGCGGTGAG